ATGTACTAAGAGTATACAAAATAAACTCAAAGTGATCAAAGGAGGTCTCTGGTTTTACTTAATTCTAATCCATACTTTCAATATTAAAAATTCACTACTCCACTTCTGAGAGCCTCTGAAAAATAGTCCATATCCTACCCATTGCCTAGCACCTAAAAGGGCATCCAATCGATACAGAATAAAGCAATAGTAAATGAAGGGTTCACACTCAGCCCAGCCATCTCAGGGAGAGGTTTTGCAGTGTAGGAGCCTTATTTATTCTACACTCTTGGCTAACCCAGCCTAGCACTAATACCAGGAATTGATGAAAAGGGCAGCATGTTAATGCAAGGGAAGAGACCTGCCTTCAGGTTTGGAGTCTTCCTGGTCTAAGAGGTGATTCCTCACTTCCAAGATCCAAACAGGTTATCTTAACTGGTCATGAAAATCACGATACCATTCTCCACTTCTGATGAGATCTTGCACTGTGGTCATCTTTCAGCTCTGGCTGAGCCTCAGTTTGGATTCTAGTCTATCTGTAATGTTCTCCTGGTAGAGGCAGATGGCCTTGTGACTTTCAGCTGCTGGTTATTAGTTTTTCATGACATTTCTCAGGTATTCATGATTATTTTGTCTGCCCCCAGGAAAACTGAGGAAGAGAACAGGACAAATATTTTGTTTGAGAGCCACTAAGAGAAGTGATAAAAACAAGATCCTTTCACACCACTCTTTGCTTAGCACAACTGAGCTAAAGTGGTTCTTTTTTCTGGCAAACCCATCCAAAATGTCCTATTTCTTTTCACTAGTATCACCTTACATAATAATCTGTCATCTTTGAAATCTCTGTCCCATATCCAGTAGGTTACAAAGTCCTGTTGTTCATTTGAGCCTTTTTTCCCTAATATCAGAGCATCTACTTGGTCCAGCCCTTGTTCAGCTATGCGCTGCTTAATTATTGCAACTGTCTTCTTCCTGTGTGTCTCTCCATATCAAATACAGGCTCCCCATTGCTGCCAGTGCTACCCTCCTAAGACTACAGTCTGATTTTGTTAAACCTGTGTTGGACATACTTTTTTTTTTAAATCTACCCAGCAGCCATTATTTCAGGAAAGCACTCCTCAACATTCTTTTAAAAATAATCCTGCTCAGCCTAGCCCCCACCCATTCCACTTTGCCACACCTCCCAATATCACCAGAGATAAGCACAGAATCAAGGCCATCTAGATCCATCTGCTGTAGGTCATGTGACTGCCCTGAGACTGAGAAATGACTCATGTGAATGGCCCCATGCTGACCAATCAAAGTCCTCCATGAACTGTCAAGAAAGATACTCTCAGGTCGCCTGGGTGGCTCCGTCGTTAAGCGTCTGCCTTCGGCTCAGGTCATGATCCCAGGGTCCTGGGATCGAGCCCCGCATCGGGCTCCCAGCTTGGTGGGGGGCCTGCTCTCCCTCCCCCTCTGCCGCTCCCACTGCTTGTGCTCTCCTGCTCTCTCTCTGTCAAATAAATAAAATCTTAAAAAAAAAAAGAAAAAAGAAAGATACTCTCCACTCAGTGATGTAAGATTCACAAACTGCTGAGGCTGAACAACGTGGGACATTCCCACAAAGAAAACAGCTGATATCAAGACAAGCAGAGATCACAGATAATGAGAAGCCAGAAGAAAGGAGTGGGAAAGGCTCCAGCAAAGGTAAAGAGATCACTGGAGCCACCAGATCCTGCTATGCTTCTGCCATCTTGGACTGAGCACTTGTGTGAGCAAATTAATGCCTTTTATTTTTCCTTTAAATTGTTCTGAATGGGGCGCCTGGGTGGCTCAGTTGGTTGGGCGACTGCCTTCGGCTCAGGTCATGATCCTGGAGTCCCTGGATCGAGTCCCGCATCGGGCTCCCTGCTCGGCAGGGAGTCTGCTTCTCCCTCTGACCCTCCCCTGTCTCATGCTCTCTCTCTCTCTCATTCTCTCTATCAAATAAATAAATAAAATCTTAACAAAAAAAAAATTGTTCTGAATGGTCTTCTTGACACTGTGTGTGCAAAAAAGCCCTCACACATACAGCATCACTACTTAGAAACTTTTTTGGGGGTGGCGAGGGGCAGAGGGAGAGGGACAGAGAGAATCTTAAGTAGGTTGCATGCTGGGCATGACATAGGGCTCAACCTCACAGCCCTGAGATCATGGTCTGAGCCGAAATCGAGAGTCAGAAACTTAACCAACTGTGCCACCCAGGTGCCCCACTACTTAGACACCTTAAATAGAGTCTTTTTTTTTCCTGTAGGAAGTAAAACTCTCACAAACTTCTTAGCACAATATTCAAGTTCTTTGACAAAAGGGACCATCTTAGCATTTCAGTTTTAACTCTCCTGATCCAGCCTCAAGCACTTTGAAATATTAAAATAATATTAATAATAAGTTAGTACCCTCTACTATAGCCACCACTGACCCTAACTTCTGCCCCTCATGCTACTTACTGCTCATTTCCTTAATCTGAACTATTCTCCTATTCTTTCCTTCAATACTCAATCTTCCAGATACGGCTTGTACAGGTGACAGTATCATATTTTACATCACGATTCTCATGCATGTGTATTTCCCCCTACCAGACTCTGCAGACAAGGACTGAATCTTTTTGAAGTTTCAGCTCTAGCACCTGACAATCTGCTATAGCAAGCACACACTCCACACGTTTGCAACTCTGATCAGAAATGAAAGACTGAGGGTTGGGGGCGCCTGGGTGGCTCAGTCGTTGAGCGTCTGCCTTCGGCTCAGGTCATGATCCCAAGGTCCTGGGATCGAGCCCCGCATCGGGCTCCCTGCTCAGCGGGAAGCCTGCTTCTCCCTCTCGAACTCCCTCTGCTTGTGTTCCCTCTCTTGCTGTGTCTCTCTGTCAAATAAATAAAATCTTTTTAAAAAAAAAAAGAAAAAAAAAGAAAGACTGAGGGTTGATACCTGTTAGAATCTTAATTCTTCTTTACATTACAATTTCTCAAAAAGTCACCATGTCACTGTACAACCCAGTAATCAAACTTATGGGCAGTTATCCCAGAGAAACAAATTTATGCTCACATTTAAAACCTGTACAGAACTATTTACAGCAGCTTTATTCCTAATTTACCCATATTGTAAAAAACCCAGATGTCCCTCAACAGGTGAATGGTTAAACAAACTGTGTACATCAATACAATGGAATACTACTCAGCAATAAAAAAGAACAAAGTATTGATAAAACAACTCGAAAATATCTCAAGGGAATTATGCTGAATGAAAAAAAAAAGCCAATCCAAAAAGATTACATATTATATGATTCCACTGAGATAATCTTGAAATGACAAAATTAAAGAAATTCACAAGAGATCAGGAGTCGGCAGGGTAAGGGAAGGAGGTGAGAGGTTAAGCAGATGGATGGAGCCATAAGAGGGCGTCACAAGGCATCCTTGTGGTGATGACACTGTCCTGAATCTTGACTGTATTAATATCTTGGTGGTGACATCTTACTGCAGTGTAGCAAGATGTTACTATTGAGGACAGTGGGTAAAGGTACATATAACTCTGTTTTATTTCTTAGAACTGCATATAAATGTAAATCAAGCAGAGAAAGACAATTATCATATGGTTTCACTCATATGTGGAACATAAGCAATAGCACAGAGGACCATAGGGGAAGGGAGGGAAATCTGAAGGGAGAGAAATCAGTGATTCATTAATTACGTATAACACCCAGTGCTCATCACAACACGTGCCCTCCTAATACCCATCACCCTGTTACCCCTCCTCCAGCCCCCTCCCCTCTGAAACCCTCAGTTTGCTTCCTGGGGTCCATAATCTCTCATGGTTTGTCTCCCTCTCTGATTTCTCTCCCACTACATCAAAACTACATCAAAAACTAATGATGTACTCTACAGTGGCTAACTGAACATAAAAACAGAAACAAAACAAAAACTAACCACACTGCAAATCTGAACCAAGAACCAGATTCTCAGTGCAAGAGTACCTCACAAATAATCATACTCTCAAACAAAATATCTTACTGTAACTGGCAACAGAATAGGGTTTTGCCAACAAGAAGCAAGGAGCTCTCTAGAAAAAGAGATAGGTAAGAGTCATTCTGGACAATATGAGAGAGGAGATTTCTTTACATACGAAAACTATGTTCAGAAACTGGATGGCAAAAAAAAAAAAAAAATTAACAAGAGAAGTATTGCTGCCCAGACAATGAGCAGGGACCCTAAGTGATAGTCCATCTCTACAAGTGACGGCTGGGCTTCCATGGGGATGAGTAACAGCCATTGATATGTGAAATCTGATCTGTTTGCCATTTAAATCCATGTGACTCACTGAAGCTGGCTGCATTCACATCTAAAAATATAGGAAACCTGCAGCCTAAGCAAATTGGCTCATTGACGCATGGGGTTTTGATTCAAACACTACACATTTGAAGACAGTGGTTTTATATTTATGTCAGCTAGCTGTAAGGGAGGTTCTGCTCCTCAAATGCCAGAGTCTAGGTAGAAATCTAGATGAGAAGAGGATCACAAGAATTATCTGCTTATATACATGTTATCTGGCAGTCACGTGACACCTTTTTGGTAACAGGGAACATGAGATCTGAGGTGCTCTGCAGGCTAGAAGGATGCCCTTCCTTGGGAATCGGGTGTGCCCCACTAAATGCCTGTCTCCGAAGAGGACAGTGGAGTCATAAGCTATAAATGACAGAGTAGGGTGTGGTGGTCACATGAATGACTGAGCGCCACTTGGATTGGCAGTGGCTGAGTCTACAAACAGAGGGTGTGGTGCTTTGGCCCTGCCATTTTTTTTGTTTGTTTTGTCCAGTCCACTAAGTATCTCTTCCAGTAATGCCTACAGCCGTAACAACTGGTGAGTGGGGCAGCTGATTTCTGGGTGTTCCCTCTTGGACACCCAATTCCTTCCCAAGAGGCTGTTCATATTCATGGAACCAGTAACTTTTCAGAGGTGCCCCCTTGATCCCACTGGGGCCTGCCTGGCCCAGCCACTGCTGCACTCACCCATCAAGACGCTGAGCAGCTTCTGCACTCTGGAATTGACCCCCACAATTCGGTAGAGCCCTTGCTCATTGATCCCTGAGAAGAGAAACAGTGATGATTTAATTAGAGGCACGTCAGAACACAAGTTAAGCCAACCCAGCCAGATGCACTTTTTTTCATTTTCTCGGTCCTTCTAAAACCCACTCTAATTAAAGTCCCCTGTCACTCAACTCTGCTCTTAGCGAAGGAGTGGGATTTGGTGCAGCTGTCTAGGATTTCACGGATGTGCTGCACACTTCAGCCCTTGTGTTAGTTCAGTTCAGTCAACAGAGGGGAAAGAAACCTTCCTCTTCTCTTGCCAAATGCAGCATCTGAAGAGTTTTGAAAGATGCCAAATACATACTTTTAAATATGTTACATTTAACCAATTTTTCAATTTAAAAAGCCAAAACTGACATGAGAGAAAATTCATACTGTAGAAAAGAATAAATGCTTTATAACCTATTTTCAAATACAGAATAAAAATACAGAGGTGTGAGAGCATTTTTAATTTTGGACAATGTTCACCAAGACTGAGAAATTAGGAAATCCATTTATTGGTCATGTAAACATTCTTTATGAAGAAAAAGGAAAATTATCTTCATTCAACCCAAGTAAATGTGCAGGTGAACTAGAAGGGGATTACCTAAACACCCAAAGAACCAAAAACTAAGCCACCTTAATGCTTTGTTCATTTAAGTGCAAGGATTGGATCACCGCTATACCATCTACAAAAAGGGACCATTTAGACCAAGTGATTGAAGAAATGATTTTTCTGTTTAGCCCTAGGCCCATCATACCCCACACCTTTCAACTAACTGGTCTCCTGCTTCCCATCTTATTCCCCTGATGTCCATTTTTCAACCAGTAACCAAAACGAACTTCTTTAAGTATGTATCAGTTCAAATCCTCTCTTTACTCAAAACTTTCCAATGGCTTCCCATTGCATTTAGACCATAATCAAAACTGTGGCTCACGAGGCCCTGCAGGATTAAGCACAGGCCACTTCTGCATCATCAACCACGTTCACTCTGCTCCAGCTACACTGGTCTTCCTGTTTCTCCCACACATCAAGCTTGTGCACCCAAATCACAGCCTCTGCACAGCTGTTTCCTCCACCGGGAACATGCTTCTCCCAGATCTTTTTATCATTCAGGTCTCAACCGAAATGCAACCTCTTCAACCTAAAGCATCCCATGACCAACACTACTGGCTGGTCCCCTACCCTCTTTTCTTTGTAGCAAGTAACAATATGTGAAATTATCTTTCTTTTTTGGTTTCTTGTTTGTCATACTCCCCACAAACTATGATATAAACTCTAGGTACAGTGATTCTGTCTTCTTTACCGTTACAGTCCCCATACTTAGATCAGTAGATAATACATGACATAATGAATAAAACACTGAGTTATACTCCTTCAGGGCCACCACTTTGGGACCAAAACAAAATTTCCTGAAAGAAATTTGGGAAAAGGCTGATTCTACAGTGTCTCCAACCAGGCCTATGTAGAATTAAGGAATAAAAAGAAGTGGTCTAGAATGATAGGATGTTATAGCTAAAAAGGACCTGTAAAAGCATGTACATCAGCCTGCATGGCTTGGCGACTAGGAGACTGTGATCTAAAACTAAGGGATGGGCCCTAAGCTACTTAACGGCAGAACCATTATTCAGTAACATGGTGGCTTAAAGGGCTTGTCCTTTCTGAAGTGTCTCTACTTCTTCTGTGCTTGACCTTTCCTGGAACTGGATACAACCCTGTCTCCTGCTGGACGATGATTAACGAACCCCAGAAAATATGGGATGTCTGTTCACCTCTGGTCACCACAAATAATTATATACATACATGCATTCCAGTAGGAAAATAATCACTTCCTTCAAGTATTTATGCTAAAATGGCATTTAACTCACATTGTCCTCTTTTCCTTTTTGTGTCAAATGAAAACTTTCTTACAAGTTAAAACATATCATTCTCATCTTCATTTTAGAGCAGGAGGGGACAAAGAGGCAGAGGCTAGGACACCAAACCACTGGTGACCTTGTTCTTCCTCTACTACTTATTATGTACATTTTCTGGCTTTATATCATAAAAAGCTGTCCTCCTGAGCCACTAGTCTGCATTTATCACAGGCTCTGTGAAGGGTTTTAAATGATTCCACTTCCCTATTGGTTTGGCTGCTGAGAGCTCAGACAAAGAGGTGGCCCACCTCAGGCAAGTGGATGAATTTCACAGTGGAGGGGAGGGGATTTTTGTTTTGAACTTACTTTTGGCTGCATTTTTATTATGCCTCTACTTTTGTTAACCCTGTACCTCTTATTCCTCATTCTTTTCTCTTAGAATGAACAGAAAATTAAAACACCTGTTGAAAAACTGCCTTAGTAACAGACAGTTTGAAAATTCAGAAACTGCAATTAAGGCAAGTAGATAAATCAAAGGAAGACAGTAAGAAGAGCGGGGAGCCCCACTGATGACCCGATGATACCTGTGCATATATGGATCTCCCTTTCCCCCCACCACCCCCAGAATGCATTCATACTGTGCAAGCTGTTCCGTAACTTTCGTTTTTCACTTAATATGTAATAATGAAAACTTGGCATGTCAATAAATGTATTTCCCTGCAGTTTTAGCGATTCACAGCTTTTTACTGCATGGATGTACCACTAGTGATTCAACCAATTTTTGAAACATTTGACCAGTTTCTGTTTTTCACTTTAACACCATTGTGTAAGCAGCTTTGTGGCTCAACCTGCCTGTGTCCTTATTTCCTCCAGATCAATTCCCAGAAATCTCACCTATTTCTACTTTATATTCTCTGGCTCTATTTCACTTCTCTTTGCAAGCCGCCTTAACTCTTTATTGAAGGAAGGTATAGCAGAAATAAGCAAACATTTAAAAAGTCTTAGAGCACATTCAAATAACTACTTTGGAAAGAACACTTTCTGACTGGGTAGGAGGAGTGGCTCATACAGTTAAGATTTTTTTCATCCCCTTTTACTCAATCCTTTATATATTTATATTTTATATTTATAATATAATGTAATAATTATAATAGAACTCTTACTAGTTATGGATCCTACTTTAAAAGATAAAACTTCTTTCAATCAAGTGAAAAAGATTAATGGGTTGAGAGGCTGTGGAATAGTAAGACTCACATCTTTAACAATGGTTCAAACCAAATCCACAGCAAAGTTAGTTAACAGCTTTTCTCAGGAGTATCATAGATCAGAGTACTCAAAGCTCCCAACTGCCAGAACTGAGAAATCTCCTTTGGGTCAACATCTAAGGATGGGAAGGAGACCACTGGGATGAATCAGCTTCCCTGATTCCTAAAGTCCTGCTCCTACAGACCCAGGAAGTGTCAATGTACAACAGGCAGGGCCTGGCTACAGCACTGCTACAGGAAACCAGGAGCCTGACCCCTTCTGCCCACCTGGATAGTCACCAGGGACTGGCTTTTCATAGCATGGTTCTTAACCTGGCATCCACAGACCCCAGGAGTGCACTAGAGAATTCAGAGTGTCAATGAACTTAGGCAGGAAAACAATCACGCCTTTACTTTCATGACCCTGTCACTGAAATTAAACATTTCCTTCCATTATGATATAAGCAATAAATCACAGCGTTAGCAATACCTGTGACTTGCTCAGAAATCAGTTATTTTCATAACACACTGCGACTTTTATAGACATCTTGAAATATCAGGACAGCTGACCCTTGATCAACACGGGTTTGAAATACACAGGTCTACTTACACATGGATTTTTTTGTTTCAATAAACACAGTACAGTACAATCAATGTGCTTTATGATCTTTTAATATTTTCTTTTCTCTAGCTTACTTTATTGTAGTATTATAGTATATAATACATGTAACATACAAAATATGTATTAATTAATTGCCTATGTTATTGGTAAGGCTTCTGGTCAACAGAAAGCTGTTAGTAGTTGTTTGCAGGGGAGTCAAAAGTTATATGCAGATTTTCAACTGCACAGGAGGGTAGGGGGTTGGCACCCCGAACTCCCGCATTATTCAAGGGTCAACTGCATTTCCAAATTATGCCAGTTATCAGACCTGTGTCTATTACTTATTATTTAAAGTGGTAACAAAGAAACACATGTACTATTACATCACAACTAGGTCTTTCAATATTTTAACTGAATTCCAGTAACTAGACTCCTTATTATCCTATGTATTTGACACGTATGTCTTTAAAACATTCTACTAATCAGCCAAAGAGGTTGATGACACCAAATTGACTGAGAGCCCCTGCTTCAGAGCAACACAACTTGTAGAAACACAATAATGGCACTTGGGGAGTTAATGAGTCACTTAAAATCGGGAAACAGGTAGCAGGTCTGACACCTCACCAGATGTGTGACCTTCACTGAGAACAATGCCATCTGTTGAACGACTTTACCTCTGGTTTCCACAGCGTGGATGCATTTCCTGATTATGCTGAAGCCAATGCTGTCCAACTGTGCAGCTGAAAGAGGAAGACAGGGGCAGTCAAGTTGCTGGCCATGCACACCAACCTCAGACAAGGTCTGGCAGACTCAGGATCAATCAGTCCCATGGTTTGGCCACAGATAAAAATGATTTAAAAAAAAAAAAAAATCAGCAGGCATTCACTGAGAGATTACCATATGCCAGGTCCAGTTCTAAGTGCTTTGTTTATATTATCTCATTTAATTCTCATGGTCACTCAGCAAAGTTATCTTCTATTTACAGTTGAAGACACTGCAGCATAGTGATATGTACTTTGCCAAAGGAATAGTAGGCATCCTTTAAATCGCTTGTTCTGTTATTGTCAGGAACTGTTGGACTAACTGCTTCCTGGCCTCCTTCAAAAAGCATAAATTAAGTGGCACAATAAATGTTAGATAAGTGCTTTACATAGATTATTTCAGTTAATCCTCGTAAATCCGCTAGGCTGATACTAGCATTAGCTCCATATTATAGATGAGACAACTGAGATTTGGCAAAGCTAAATGTCTTGATCAAAGCTGCAGAGCTAATAGGTGGGAGACTCACTCCAGAGCCTGTGAAGACCTAACTGCCTTAAATATGACCCTGAATTAAAGAGAGAAGTCGAATCCTGCTCAGGTGATTAGAAAAGAAGGAAAAAATGGTAAAAGGAAAAGTGACCTAAAGGAAAATTAAAGCAGCCTAGAACAAAGAAGTTACATGATGAGTAAGCATAAGGCAGTAGAGCCATCCTGTGTGGGATCTGTCAGCAAGTAGTAAGAGTTTTCCACCTGCTACAAACGCCACTAATGTGACTCAGAAAATTAACGATCAAATAGTAGCAACCTTTTCCACAGCCCAGAACCAATTTCCAACCTGGCAGTGAGGCTGGGAACCCACCAAGATTTGTCTCCATGTTTTGATTACCCAGTGAGAAGATGTGGATGGTAACTGTTAAGATTGGGTTCACCTTTTGAGCACCTTGGGACATCAGGGCAAGACATTTTACAAACTCATGGGTCACAGTGGAGAAGAGAATGGTAGAAAGTAGGAAGGGAAGTATTTTTAAATAATTTGTCATCATCTTGGGCAAGAAATAAACTTGTAAAATATGAGAACTATTGAACTCATTCTTTGATCTAATCCAAACAGAACTTTTCTCAAAAAATTTTTTTAAGTTTTTAATTTTAATTCCGGTGTAGTTAACATATAGTGTGATATTAGTTTCAGGTGTACAATGTAGTAATTCAACACTTCCACACATTAGCCGGTGCTCATCACAACAAGTGCACTCCTTAATCCCCATCACCTATTCAACCCATTCCCCCACCCACCTCCCCTCTGGTAACCATCAGTGTGTTCTCTATAGTTATGAGCTTGTTTTTTTTGGTTTGTCTTTCCTTTTTTTCCCTTTGCTCTTTTGCTTTGTTTCTTAAATTCCACATGAGTGAAACCATATGGTATTTGTCTTTCTCTGACTTATATGCATTAGCATTATACTCTCTAGTTCCATCCATGTTCTGGTAAATGTCAAGATTTCATTCCTTTTTAATGGCCAAATAATATTCCTGTGTGTGCGTGTGTGTGTGTGTGTGTGCGTGTATGCCACATTTTCTTTATCTATTCCTCTATCGATGGACACTTGGCTGCTTCCATAATTTGGCTACTATAAATAATGTTTCAATAAACATGGGGGTGCACCTTGCTCTAATTCTTTATGTATATGAGTGAACTTACATCCAATGAAGATAAAAATCCTTAAGAAAATCACTGCATTCCTCAAACTAAAAAGGAATGCTGATTTATTAAAAATTCTCTTCTCAAAGGAAACAAAATAACTCTTATTCTTACCGACATACTTATCACTTACTGATACTTATTTTAAAAACATTTGGTCTCTAGGATAGTCAGTAAAGTACCAGAAAAGGAGGAAAACAGTATTTCTCTTCCTGGAGACTACCTGCTATACAAACCACCGCTCTTATTCTCTTAAAGTTGTAAGGAGTCTACTAACTTACTCTCATGCTTTTTCTAGTATAAACCAAGTATTTACTCTGCAAATCATGCAGTACAGAGCTTTCTGACTCAAAGCTGCCAAGTCAGATTGAAATCAGTCTTCCAAATGAAACTCAATCAACTCATGCCATAGACTTTTCCCAAATTTAATAACAAACTATGATACACAGGCTAAACACCTGTTAAAATCTAGGCAAAGATTATTTAAAATAAAAGTTTTACTGAGATATAATTCACATACCATAACATTCACCCATTTAAAGCTCAAAATTCATTGGTTTCTAGTATACTTACAAAGTTATGAATCAGGCACCATTATTTGATTCCATAACATTTTCATTCTCTTCCACATAAAACTTCATACACGTTAGCAGTCACACCCTATTTCCTGCCTTCCATCAGTTCCTAAAAATCAGTCATCTGTTTTCTGTCTCTATAGATTTGCCCATTCTAGGCAAGTCATATAAACGGAATCACATCATACAAGGTCTTTTGTGTCTAGCTTCTTTCACTTGGTATAATGTTTCCTAGAGACATGTATGTTGCATATCGATACATCATTCCCTTTTATGACTATGTTGTCTGGATATACCACATGTAATTTATCCATTCACTGATTGTTGTTTCTACTTTCTGGCTATGAAATGCTGCTAGGAACATCTCTGTGCAAGTCTTTGTGTGGACATATATTTTCACTTCAGTTTATACCTACAAGTGGCATAGCTGGATTACATGGTAACTCTGTGCTGAACGTTTTGAGGAACTGCCAACTGCTTTCTAAAGTGCTGCACCATTGTGCATTACCACCAGTGATGTATGAGGGTTCTAACTTCTCCATATCCTTGCTGATATCTGTTATTGTCTTTTTTATTATAGCTTTCTTAGTGGGAGTGAAGTGGTATCTCATTGTGGTTTTGATTTGCATTTCCCTAGTGACTAATAATGTGGGGCATCTTTTCATGTGCAGGGGAGGATATTCATTCCTTTATACAGTAATCAGAACAGAGCCTACTGGAAACTATTTGTCAGAAGGGAAACTAGTTTTTGTACTTAAGGAGGTTTCCAAAACATTCATAACTATGATTCAATAGTCAGTTGAAGCCTTTTAGTTCTTCTTTTGAGAGGTGATCAACGGAATTTATGCACAGGGATGACAGCTGAAAAAGTACCACCATTTTGCACCATCCTCTGGGGCGCTGCTGAGACGGATTCCAAGCTTGGATGCTTTAAGAGTACATTTGCGGCATGATCTTGTTCTACACATGAATCAACATCTATCTTGGACAAAAAGTATTTTGCTTCCTTTACCCCATAAACAGTGGCAAAAGTTTTGAAAGTTTGAAATAACCTGGCAGCTGACAGTGACAACCCCAGTAACCAAAAGATACCTGCTCATAAAGCCATCGGCATAACTAGCAGAAGAAATAAGGGCAGAGCTAGAGATAGACCTGCAAGGCCAAATGAGTCCTTGAATGCAAGAAGCAAGATCCTTTCCTAGGTAAGTAATAGCTAATGGAAAAGAATGCAATGGAACCTTCCAAGTATACCCAGAAAAAATCGAATTCCACTAACCTACACTAATTACCATTACTTCTTTTAGAAATTAACAAAGCAAACTGCCCCCCCTCCCCAAATCTCTCAGCAATTCTCCTTTGGTTTTCCCAACATTATTAAGTTCTTTCATTTGTTTTAAACCTGCTAACTCCTTTTCTTGAAATAAATCTTACACAGACATTACACATTAAGGCCTTACACATTACACATGTAACATAATATTAGTATATATTAGTTGTCTGAGTTCAAAAGTATAACACATTTACATATTACCAAGTCAAAGGGAGTTCAAGGTAACTCTGTCAGCCTCTAGTTGTTCAAGTTGCATTCTGATGATAATTATTACAGTTTTATAGGCAGATAACACTGTATTAAGAAGTGAAATTCATATCAAACAACAGTTCCCAACAAGGAACTCATGATACACAATCATTGCTCTAAGTCTCTAAACTGAAACTGGTAAAATTATTACATTGCCTGCTGCCCTGGGACATCCCTGTTTGTCCCTGTGTCTCTAAGGCTATGCCACCCACAAGCATGCACGTATACACACGCATGTGCACGCGCTCACATATACGCACACATGAAGTCTGACTTCTATTCTGAACTTGAATTCCCTGCTGATGTCATGATTACGTTACTAATGATTAACAACTGCTTTATTATTTAACATGTACAGAGTACTACTAATGTAATAGCTACCATAGTGCATACATAACTAGAGATCATTAGTTCTGATCTCTGCCCAGCAGGTACATAATCTAAGTTAATTGAGATCGCCTCTGCTGAAAAGCAAGTTCCCACTAAAAGGTTTAGAACATGATCACCACCGAACAGAGTTTGTTAATGACAGAAAAAGTCTGAGCAGACTGCCAGATGGAAGAGGCTGTCCTTAATCCCCTGAAGCAGGTGATTCAGCTCTTTTACTGGGCCAAGGCTCAGAAAAGGTCAGGGATTTATTTGCAATTTCTCTATCCTTATAATCTCCAGGAATAATCTCTCATTAAATATCTACTAGGCTTGCATTATTCCCTTAATTTGACTTGCAATGAGTTGTTGCAGGACCTGTAGCTCCTAGGCCTGCCATCCACTGTCTTGCAGCTAAGGCCCGAACTGGCTTCTCTTCCTCCCTCGGCCTCAACTTCAACTCTGCCCAGGATTCTGCACCAGGCAGCCCAAACAGCTTTCATATGATGACTGTCAACAGAGCTCACACCAAATACCCAGGTTAACCCGCCAAGTTAGAAATCTATCACCGTCGGGTACCTGGGTGGCTCAGTCGTTAAACGTCTGCCTTCAGCTCAGGTCATGATCCCAGGGTCCTGGGATCAAGTCCCACATCGGGCTCCCTGCTCGGCGGGAAGCCTGCTTCTCCCTCTCCCGCTCCCCCTGCTTGTGTTCCTGCTCTTGCTGTCTCTCTCTCTGTCAAATAAATACATAAAATCTTAA